CTTATGATTAAAAGTACCAAAGAGCTAGCAGAAAAACGCAAAAACTCTTCGCAAATAGACTCCCAAAGACCGTTAGCCTCTAACAATATAGGTCAATCGAGAAATAGTGAAAAGAAGTCAGATATGCATGAAAGCGGTTCATCGAAAATTGCCGGGCCGAGTACCGCTAATTTCAGAATTAATAAGGCAATCAGCAGAATCGAATATGCGATAATTAGCTATTGTAGCGGTCAACATTTAATTTTATGCAGAACAGTGACAACGACGACGAGACGCAAAGAGCTGACACGGAATAAAAAATTAAAACGATCATTCACAGTTAAACGATGGCGATTAACATGCAGGCGACCAACTGTTGCCACCGAGTCGGGTTCGAAACCGAGTCCGAACCAGGCTGTCAATGACCTTGCGGCCTTGAGATCCAAAGAAACTCTATTACGACAAAAGTAATTCGGTGAAGCGAATCGCGGACAGTTGTAGAATTAGAAGGACAAAATCCTATCAAGTCCGCAATTCGGCATTCGGAGTTATGAAGTGTCTTGAGACGTGTCTATGAGGCACTTCATACCCGTTTAATTCCACCAATAAAGATTAATTAACTTTAATCCTCGATTGCAGAAACTGGTCATTTGATTACATTCAGACCGGTTGCTAGAATAAAAATATTTTTTGTTGCACGGTTCATCATTTTTAACTTCCAACAAAATTATTTTCAGATCTAAATCCAGTAAAAGTTTAAATCTTTCAGCAATTTTGTCTCTGCACGAAAAAACAGATTTTGCTGAAAAATCCAAAGTTTTAGGTCGAAACCTATCATTTCCTGTTCTATTGCTTTTCAACAGTGTCTCAGATTTTAATCTTGATTCAACTTGTGCTTAATCTTCCTCTAATTCTTAGAAGTAGAAAAAGATGAAGAGTAAGTTGGAAACTAAAGTTAATTTATATTGGCAGAAGTAGACATCTCAAGATTGTGAATGTAATGCCTCGTCCCGTAATATGCCATAATAACTAAGGATAAAAAAAATGAAATATCCATATACAGTATGTTTTAATCGCCCGCAAATATCTCGAAAAATATGGAAGATATAAACAAATATTTCAGACAAAAATTGTATGGTTTTGAGGAGGACATAAGATGGTATCGTTGGTTTGACCTTGGGTGGCGTTGTCAAGGTCAAACGAAAGCCACATTAAATTTTTTAAATAAAACCCATTTTTTATTATATATTCTTGTAGCTTACTTCGAAAGCTTTCCAAAACACTATAAAAAAATATTTTTTCATTAAATACTTTTCGAGTTATGAGGCTTGAAAGCCATAGTATGTGCTGGCATCAGAATTACCCAAGATGTACCGGCCAGTGAAGGCAAGACCCGAGGTGGATCCGGCCGATGAAGGCAAGACTCGAAGGGTGGATCCAGCCGGTGAAGGTAAGACCGATTAACTCCATAAAGTCACATCGAAGTCAGTGATAGAGTGTTTATGTTTGGTCTCCAGCAAATGCTCAAATGTACTACCATTCTGTTAGATACATAGTTGCAACCGTTTTTCGAATGCATTGACTGTTTTTCTGAGAAAATTGGCTGGTATACTTCTATATGCCCGTCTGATACGGTACTTTAGGTCTTCAACTGTGGTAGGTGCAGTCTGGTAAACAATGTTTTTCAAATAGCCCCATAAGAAAAAATCTGGTGATGTTAGATCTGGTGATCAGGGAGGCCATGTTATATGACCACCTCTTCCAATCCAACGACGCTGATAAATTAAATTTAAAAAATCCCTTACAGAGCATGCGTAATGTGATGATGCACCGTCTTGTTGCAATCACATACCTACGTTGAATTGTATTTTCATCGACAAACTCTAACACCCTTGGCAACACTTCTCGTAGCATACGTAAGTATGATTCTCCTGTAACATTGCCATAAAAAAAGTGGGGTCCAATAATATGACCATCTAAAATACCACAAACTATCACTTTCCACCGATGCTGATTGTCTACAAGACGAACCCAGTGCAAATTGGTATCGGAATAATAATGGCTATTAGCGATTCAGCATACCATTGCTATCAAATGCAAACTCGTCACTAAACATGACGCGAGAAAAAAATGTGAGATTGAACTAGAATTGGTATCGGAATAATAATGGCTATTATGGCGATTCAGCATGCCATTGCTATCAAATGCAAACTCGTCACTAAACATGACGCGAGAAAAAAATGTGAGATTGAACTGAATTTTTTCTACAGCCCACCTACAGAATGTGACACGAAGAACTTTGTCGTTATCAGAAAGTTCCTAATTAATGTGATAATGTAATGTGATAAGGATGAATGTGATTGGCATGTACAATTCTACATACAGTTGCAGGAGACACATTTAATTTGCGACTAATTTGACGTTGACTAATGTGCGGATTCATTGTTACCATTCCTAGTATGAGTTAGGGTAATAGCATCATCGTTATTTAATGGTTTTTTAGAACTTTGCGTTTCATCAATCTCGTACGCGCTCTAGTTAAACAAAATTGCTTTATGATCGGAATGTCGTCTATCCGGATACCTATCTCGATACTAGCGAGCTGCTTGTCTAACATTATTATTAGCGGCGTAAAAAATACCAATCATACCAACTATTTCTGACGGCGGGTAATTTGCCATGTTAATAGTGACACAATTAACGGGAGGAAACAAAATGAGTTTACCCTATCGAACAAATCATCGCAACAAGAGCCAACCCGAATCGATTTTACGTAAAAAAACAATCAGCTGTATGGGAGCCCAATGAAAGTGTTTTAGAATGTAGAAGTCTGTATAGTCTGAAACAGCACGCCGTGTGTCATTGTTAACCTTCCATCGGCGGACGCAGGATCTCGTAAGACTCGCGAGTTAGAGTTGTTTACTTTTTTCATCTATGACGCGTGAGTCAAGTACGCTTCCTCCTCTTTTGTTTTATGTTTGTCAATGTTTCGTAGCAACTCAGTGGAAATCGGCAAAATTAAACTGAAATTTTTCTGAAATGCTGAAATTTCGCACAAAAGTGTTCCAAAATGTGGAATAATTTCCAGCGAAATTTTTTCACCAAGGTATGTTATAATAAAAAAAAACTGCTTTTTATTTTAAAACGATATCACTCTTGAGTCACATTTGACCCTGCATCCGCCGTGCGTTCGAATTTCACAACGTCCGATGTCCGAGGATTAAAATACTAGAAACGTCTCTCTAATAAGAATGTATAGCGACTGTTATTACGACGATTTGTTCGATAGAGTAAACTCATTTTGATTCCTTCCGTTAATTGTATCACTATTAACATGGCAAATTACCCGCCGTCAAAAATAGTTGGTATGATTGGTATTTTTTATGCCGCTAATAATAATGCTAGAGAAGCAGCTCGCCAGTATCGAGATAGGTATCCGGATAGACGACATCCCGATCATAAAGCAATTTTGTTTAACAACTAGAGCGCGTACGAGATTGATGAAACGCAAATGTTTTAAAAAACCATTAAATAACGACGATACTATTATTGTAACCATACTAGGAGTGGTAATAATGAATCCACACATTAGTCAACGTCAAATTAGTCGTGAATTAAATGTGTCTCCTGCAACTGTATGTAGAATTTTACATGCCAATCACATTCATTCACCTCGGATCTTGCCTTCACCGGCCGGACCCACCTCGAGTCTTGCCTTCACTGGACGATACACC